CTCCTTATTTCATACACCACAAAAGTCACACATCATCTCTGCGTGCCCAGAGAGCAGATGGAAATGAGAAAATATTGTTAACCACTTCCTTTAACAGCACTGGTCTATCCCTTGAGCCCTCCCATTGTAAGTCAAAATTCTACAACAATCAAACTGCTTTACACCTAAACCCAGCATCTTACCAACTCTTTGATGACTTAATTTTTCTGGTTTTTTGTGTTTTTTTTGTGTTTTTGTTTCTATTATTGTTTTTAACAATGAACCAGAAACATCTTCAGCATTTTTTAAAAAAATTTTTTTGAGTTTAGCAAATTTTACCAACATTATTCCAGTGTTTAAAAGTCTAGTTACAAAGTCACTGATGTTTCCATGTAACAAACAAGCACAAAATTTTCCATCAACAATTTGTAAAATAAACAGTTAAAATCACAAAATGTTAGGGCCTTAACCTGAAGTGTATGATTCCCTATACAGTGTCTTCCATCGTGAAAATTCCCATGAACTGTGCTTGTCCTATAAAAAAGGGCCACATCCAAGATCCCTCTTAACCCACAAGTACCTTGTACTTAGATTGTAACAATATAATATCATAAAGACTTGTAACTTTAGACAAGCATCCCTTTGAGAACTAGATATGGTCCATTATTCTGTACAGAGTGACCCGACGTGTGAATTTGGGTTAACAACTTACAAGAGAAAGGCTTCTAATTTCACCACAAGGTCAAAGTAGCTTGGAGCTTATGCTGCATAATTTTCACTTCAAAATACTGATACTTAATGAAAGAAAATGTCTAATTAACTTTGGATAAAAAAACACATTTTAAAAGTGATTCCAATTAAGATAGTATGTTTTATAATGATGTTCAAATCTAAAACTCACTTAATATCACAAATCAAGGAGTAACATTCTTAATTTTTAAAAAAAGTGATTAATAATGGAATGGAATTGAAAAAATGAAGGTAATTTCATTGATACTTCTTTCATAAATATTTCAATCTGATATGAAAAAAAAACTTTACAACACAGACCCAATGTTACATACCAAGCCAGATTAAAATCTGTACTTCTCACTTACAAAGAACACCCAATTGGATATTGTGTAACAATCTGATCACTTTCACATTGATATATATCCTTGATGTATTAGGTCCTTATGTTCGCAGTATAAGGCAACATTTGACTAGAAATGGAACATGAAGGGTGTTGATGTTTCATTGTGAGGCATCGTCAACAATTAACAATTAACGAGTCATATTATTAGAAAATGTAAAGCGAATAACAGCTGAATTAAAAAAGAAAACTTAATCAAGAAATTCTAGATCTAAATGACTTCTCAGTTTGAAATTAAAAAATTGAAAAAAGAAAGAAAACAAATATGTCTTAGGTTTCCCAACAGAGCCATTTATCCATGGCCAGGCAAGGTGGCTATTTTTACAGTTGTTTTGATCTCCATCATTCTATAATGAGATTTTCACAGAGACCTGCTGTAATACCCACTGTTGAAGGGGCGGTCTCCCTTGCCAGTGATCCTGTACATTTTCTAAGCTGAATGAGTATCAATAGAAAATACGATAGTTTGAATGAGAGATCCGTAGGTAAACAACATTCCACACTGGACTGGGAGCCTTAACCACTTTCTTCTTGGATCAATAGTGTAACAGAAACCCCCACAACTTTCCGACCTTAGAGGCTTGTACAGGCATATTTGAACATTATATTAAAACTGAATTGGACCCTATAGTGGTACTTTACGAGAAGTCTATGTGTCCATTTCAAGTGTTTTCAAATTCAATTTAGATGTGGAAAATATCCTTGAGATTTTGGAGTGATAAATGATTATCAGTCTTATATGTTGGTACTGAAAATATCCTTGAAACTTTGAAGTGAATATGAAATATATCAATTCAAGTTCATTGTAGTAGTGAAAAATAATCACTGAACCCTTGTAAAACTCATTTCAAATGTGTGTCACTTAAATAAAGGTGTGGGAAATATCCTTGAAATTTTGAAGTGAACATGTGATATAGAAATAGGATTCTGGTAATAGGTTCTCAATGATCCATCTCTTTTACCATAAATATTTAGGGTTTGTATACACTAATGTACATATTTTCTTTCTGCATTGTACAAATTACTGAATGTGTTGATATTTAAATATGATTTACAAAGTTTTCTTTGTTAACCAAATTATTTAACCTACCCAAGCTCATTGAGATGAAAACAAATATCCTTGAATGAAATTTAATTGCTATTAATCGATATATTGGTGTGTCAAACACGTGCTCTACAAAGAGAAATGGATATGTTTGCTTTCCTTGTTTCTCTACACAAGAACATTTCACACCTATGAGTTTATACTTTTAGACTTTTGAAAGATCAATATGTTTAACAAAGCTGTTGAAAATTTATACAACATGTTAAATTCACATCTCAATAGGTATTACCGCCACAACAGAACATTTATGCTGAAAAATGATTCAACAATTTTTAATCTTGACATGAATTATCTTAATTATATACATATTATATATAACACAACCAGCAGAAATTTCAGAACGTTGTCTTCAGGCTGGTTATGTCAAAATGTTCCAAAATATCCAAACTAAATAGGGACAAGTTGTTGTCAAAGATGTGCAAAACATGAGAGCCTTGAAAAGAAATTAGCAAGACAAAGAAATCACCTTGTGGTTAACAGGATAGATACGGGCTAAAAGGCTCTTGCACATCTATGACCAAGTGTTAAACAAAGTGGAGCCGAATTGACTACAATGTATTGTTACCATCTGCGTACTTTTTGTCTATAATCTGTTTACCATCTCATTACACCATTTTCGACCTTAGCGTACATATGATTATAGTACAGTTAAAAAAGTTGGTTGATTCCTTTCCATGTCATACACTACGTACATAGATGCCAGTACGTTCCAAATTGTAATTTGTCTGATGAAGGTGACCATGCAGTAATCAAAATGTCAAATTTAAATCTTTTACCGGTTGTGTTATAAGTACATCCTATTCCATCAACCTGACAACAGTATGATACTCTTCAGCTACCCATATTTATTGCAGAAAAATGATACTTTTTTTTTTTTAAATATGAAGTTCTTCAACTCTAAAAAGCCTGGAATCAAGAAACAGAACTCTGAAATTAAGAAAAGACATCCATCAATTTGTCTGGTAAAGACCCAGGCTTCAATTCTTCAGCTGATCAAACAGAGAAAGTGATTATTTTTCTTCGTAATTTCTCCTCCAATTTGTCTATTGCAGTGGTGAAGAATTCATCGAATAGTACAGACATGTTTGTCCTGATATCTAGAGTTTAAAGTACAGTCAAATTCTGTTATCTAGAGTGCTTAATAGCACGAAAAATCTATCATGACTTTGATTTGACAATACACTAATTGCAGCATATTGCTGACAATGCTAGCCAGTGTTTCTCAGATTTGATTTCTGTATTCCTTAGAGGATGTTTAGTGAGGATCCATTGCGAATGCAGGGGTCCGGCATATTTATTAGTTTCATAAACACACACTTCTCCCCTTTCCAACTAATTTACCAGTAAATTTTCTACCATATTAAAACTTTCAAAAACATTCAAAATTTTAATATTATTTTACATATGTTTTCAATTGTCAAGTATTGCCTGCAGTCTTTCTTTTTCAGTTTGTTGTCCCTTACTTACAGTTAAAAGATTCTACGAAGAAGAGAGAAAAAAAAAAAAAAAAGACAACGGAATTGCATCTAATTCTATCTACAAAACGTGTTTAAAAGTACGTCTTGCTCACAGAAGAGTCCTTACAAGAGTAATGACATATTCCGAACTCAGCAAGAATGTAGCTGTTTAAAAGCGTTGTGAACAATTACATACACCACTCCAATTTCCGTCCACAAGGTAGTTTCACGACCAGTCAAGCTAATAGGCAACAACTTCCATTCTAATTAACTTGCATAGAGTACTTTTAGATCATTGTAATTGAAATGAATGTTCAATTAATGAGTTCAAGTGAACTCTTTAATGATTAAAACTAACTTTAAAAGTTTTTTTTACCATTTTTATATTTAAAATGATTTTTAAATTCCAATATCATTTAAAAAACAATTCGTTCCTTTTTTCCTCCTAGACACTGAATTCTTCAATTACAAAAGGAATTTGTCACAAAATTTGTAGCATTCTGATTTCTGTTACAACCACACTCCTCGACAATAAGCAAGGCTAGATTTGATTTGTTGGAAACTACAGGAAGCCATATCTCAAACAAATAGAATGCAACTATTCCATGAAGGATATTACTCTAACACATCATTGCACTCAAATGAATTTTAAAAGAAAATCATTTTATTTCGAAATGTGTTCCGTAAAAAACAAACAATCCCAGGACAAAATTCATTTAACTGATAACAAAGTTATCATTACTGAAAATGAAGCATTATTTTCTGAAGGTCTGACATGAACATTTCAATAATTTTAAGAAATGATAGGAATTGTTTTGTCCTTCAAGGACTTGTCATTAATGCTTTGAAAAGAGCTTAAATTTTGAAAGCCTAGGAGGTTATGTCAGCTATGAAATATCTATAATAGTGAAGAAAAAGATTTTCCAGGAGTACCAACACACAAATCCTAAAATCAATCCTGAAATGAGTGATCAGTCCTGTCCCATCCCCAACCCATCAACCTACTCCCTCCTCTCGGAAAAGAAGGGTAAAAAAGGAAAAACAAACATCAGGAGCAGGCAAAAGAAACATACAAAACAATCAACAAACAGAAAGACAACTACATTCTATGTTTGTTTTCAGTTTGGGGTTTTGAAGTCGCCTGTGAAGTACTATTGTCATTTATTGTTATCTTAACTGAAGACTGAAGTTGAATTTGTCTCTCATACTGAAATTGATCATGAAAATAGATACTGAAGAAAAAGACAACAGTGCTGTGTCCCCATATCAACTGATGAAAGCAAAGAATCTGCTATTTATACCCTCATGACAACTTTGTAAGGCTTACCTTCAATATGGGAACAATTCTCTCTTGTTCTCGACTTCGAATGTTAATACGTGACACAATTCTTGATCCTTGTGATGTGTAGGATTCATGCTGTTGATCCCGTTCATATTCGATACTCCAAATGATTCGTCCTGTTCCTATGTTTGATCCTGTCTCTTCCACTTCTACTCGCCATTTGAAAATTTCTTGCACTCTGGAAATACACAAATTTAAAATCATGTCACAAAAATCAGATAAATATATGTAAATCAATGACTTTTAAAAACCAGAGAAAGACACTTAACACAACATCATAGTTTACCTGTGACCTGAATACTCTACAGCACTTTCACATCTTAACTTAGAGTTTTGATCAAATGTTTTATATTCATTTTGATACATTTCATTATCATTTTTTTCCCCCCAAATTATTATCATAATTCTAATGTTTAACAACTAAAAGTGGCCAATTTCAAAAATGCTTCATTTTCAATAAAACATCAGGAAGCTGAAAAATAGTCAGGTCTGTGATGTCATGTCCGAGGGCAAGAAACGTTATCCCAAATGCACAGGATGGCACATAATGGGTGTTCCATATGTTTTTCATTGAAGTAGCTATCAGCATAAAAAATTACCACGACTTCATGGGAAGATAAACCAAACAAGCAGACAAAAAATTCTCTGTGATATCAATTAGAGAAACAGATAAAGCCAGAAAACCAAACCATTCAGATTATGTATGACATTGAACATGTCATCCCAGTCTTGATTTTTGTACTGTCACTGCCTCATTAAAAACAAACCAAATCCAGTGGAATTTAAGATAACCTCATTAACAACTACATATTGAGTTCAATCATGACGAAAGCCTGATACCATTTCAGTCCTGGCTGAAAGATGGCAAAGTTGTTGTCGCCAGTAAGGTTACTGTTGCCATTATGGCAGTGTTACAATCCTTTAACCAGCCATAAATATATGGACCTTTGCAGAGTTAGGTTACAGAATATTGAGAAAACACTTAGGAAATGTATCTTCCATGACCTCTGGAAAAAACACGTGGAATAAAACTTCCAAGAAATTCTTGAAGAAGAAGTAAACTTGGAAATTAAGCCATTATCATCACACCATCACAGCTTAGTACAAAATGATACCAAAATCCAGCATTTTTGTACAACTTTAATCATTTGAAAGGGTGATTGACTCTGGAAGTCTGGAGAACATGACATTTCTTGGTGAAGTCAATTAGTTATCTCTTACATATTTGCAATTATTTAGGAAAAAAGTAAAAGGTATTGAAATTGATGTGTAATTTCTGGTCTTTTGCATATCACTGTAAGGGAAAAATTCAAAATACAATTCTATCAGGTTTACCTGGCAACTTGTTTTATTTGTATACTGTGATTGCTTCATAACTATGAATACTTCATAAATGAGAATTAACTTAAAATGACGATCAACCTCACAAAAACAAAATTTTAGGATTCAAACCCACTGACAGGTAAATAAGTCAGTTTCAGATATTTGGAATGGGGTAGAGGTAAAGTATTTGTAAAATATTCAATTTATCAAAATCCCATTTCATTCCCCCAATTTTGACTCTCATATCACTTCTAAAAAATATAAAATTACATGACATGAATACAAGATCAGGAAAAAAAAAAGACCTGGTTTAGTTTCCTTGGTAAACACAATGTCGATAAAAATAAAAGGTTTATGCATATGTAGGATGACAAGGCCTTCAGCGGACAAGTCAAATCTCTGAACCAGGCAGCTCATATGTAGAGCTGCTATCTCTCTACCACAGTGTTTCTACACGGATTAAGTGAAGCGTGGGTTCTACATTACAGGGTAGGTTTCACTTGTATAGGCCTCAAAATCATTTAAAAACACATTCTGCTATCACTTAAAGGTCACTGAGCTATCCTGTTAAAGTTTCCTATATAGACATCAACTGTAAGGCTGAAACTTATTGCCATCATTCATTATTCATAAAAAAAACATAAATATAACCTTTAGAGAAAATTTCAAGAAGAATAAAAAAAAAAAAAGAAAAAACAGTTTTGCTCTTTTCTTCGAAGACCACATTTGGTGAATAAACTTTAAAATAAAGATTGGTATCATATAGCTTGTTATTTTTCTGGGGATGGTATTTTCTTAATATAGCAGTACATTAATGTCAAAGCGAAATGATGAGATACATGTGTATGAGATGACCTTTTATAGCCAGAGAGCGAAATTCCACTAACTATAATTTGATCATTTTAAAAGAAAGTCCTGAAAATCTGACCCATGAAAATGACCAGTTATACAGTATTTAACAAATAAATAATACGTATCCTATTACATCTAACACAATCATCAATTTAAACAGTTAAATTTGGACACAATATAGTTACCTGTACTAACAAGATTCTATATCATTCTACCATAGCAATTTTGTAAGTTGTAATCTAAATTTCATCAAATATTTTGATGAAATTCTGAACATTGTTACTCAGAGAATTGTCAACTGGAAACCACAAACATTCAACCATCATTTGATCAAATGTTTCAAATTTGTTTGTAAGTCTTCATAAATTCACTTCCACAGTAACAAATTCATTCTATTGAAATAATGAACATTGATAATACCAAAATTCTGAAAATATCTAAAGTAGAGAAAACTACTGGGAATTTTTGTTAATTTGATATAAATCATTGAATTTTTTTTTTCTTAGATAAATATAGAATAATTTTCAAAATGACTGAAAGTGAAAGAGAATGATTTATCCATTTTTTTTTTTTTTTAAAAGATAGGACAGGCATTATCATTCAACACAATAGCACATGTGTTGAAATAAGTATATTTGCTTAACTACTTGTATTTGTATTTATGTGTGCTGGAAGTTGTATGTGCATTCCATTTGTTATAGGTTCTTATTTGATAAAGTTCACAGGACTATCAAGTCCTTAAGTGTTATATCATAACATTATACTTCACCGAAACATTAAATTATATCATATTAAAAAATTGTGTAAACTGATAAACTATAATAATATTTGCCTTGTATAAAATAATTTCAACATGTGATACATTTTCATAAATCAGAATTATCTCCCTTAAAAACTCCTTCAACTTGATTATATGTGATGATATATTTAGTTTGACATAAATATATTACACATAATTCATTCTGAGAATGTTGTGTGCAGTAATTTTTTTTTCTGGCAAGACCAGAGCATCATTTTCAAAATTTTGATGAGTCTAGTTACAAAGATATATAGTTGATTCTCAAAATTTGAGCACGTCCCACAAAAAAATCATTCAATACTTTAACTTTATCTCCACATTATGAACCTTTTCATAAATAGATAAAATCCAGTCACATACTTAAGATAGCACACACTCTTAAGTGCTTTGGTCTAAGACTAGGGGATACATAAAGATTAACATTATTTGTTTGATGAAAACCTATTTTCTTTAAAAGTCTTGCTAACACAAAGCCTGATTTCAAATGCTGATATTTGTTGGTAAACAAATACATCAATTTTTTTCAAAGCATTTAAATGATGATTTAATGTCTTGTATTTTATTCTATTAATGTATCGATTACACAAAAGAGTCGGAGACTGTTTCACATCCAAAGCTTTCTAAAAGATTAATCAAGATCTTTATCAGAATCCTTGGAAAGTTCATGAGAAACATTGTCTTCAACATAAAATCCCATCATGATTCAAGAATGAGAGCCAGATCCTAGGAATAACGTCAATAGCTGGTAGAAACTCAAGGGCATGCTGTCAAATGGGAAAGTGATAAAACTTGTGTGATGAGAATTTTTTTTTAAAAGAAAACAAACAACGATTATGTTGGTGCTGTGGAATTTTCTTTAAGCACAGATCCTGCTATACATTGATATTATTAATGCTGTCTTTCCAGATTGCAAAATTGAAGAATTTTTCAAACCACTATATACTAAATAAAAAAAAAGAAGAAAATCCTGAAGCAGAAGATAAACACAACACAAGTTAACCCCTGTTATCTCTACCTTCACTGCTGTTTGCATGCCACAATCCTTTAGGTAGGAATTGCTTCACAACTGACATGAAATCAATTTTCTTCAATGGAAAGAATTTTAGATTATCACATATTTACTGCCTCACATCCAATCATATCAATGAAGGTTTGATATTGATTTTGAATATTTCAGGAAACTGAGCTATCAAAAAAATTGTCCATTTTTTATCTAGAATATAAGTAAATTTTCATAAATTCATGCCATAACATGTCAGGTTCTTGCGACCTATTTTCTTTGGCATGAAACCACTAACATGAGTGTTATACCTATAGATTTGCTTGCCTGATAGCTATATCACTGTTTTGGTGTTGCCAATTTCCTTCAGCATTTCTTATCCTGTTTATATTGATATTAACATGGAAATTGCAATTACATCTGAGACGTTGCCAGAAAAATTGCGGCTAACTTCTCCAAATTCTACACATTTATGTACTCTGTTGGAAACTGGACATAATTAAAAGTAATGCTGTAACATTCACAGATGCAAACATGTTTCTTTGCCACAAAAAAATTGTCAATATTGATGACATCATAAATGACAACTTCATCCCCTTGTATGGAGATATAAAATTATATGTTTAAGAAAGAAACAAACAAACATTACTATATCTGAAACCCTAAAAAATATGATGTCTAATTTCCTTCATGCCCCCAAAAAGAATATAATTTGAGTATTTGTGCAAAATTGGGGTATTAAAAAAGAAAACACACACGTGTTTGACATTTAGTTAAATTTTGAATAAAACACTAAATTTGGGTGCAGTCAAAATACTACACCATATAGGATAGATTTAATGTATCATACAGGGTGGTAACTGCATTATACAGGGTGAAAGCTGCTTCACAGAGAGTAAAAACTTAATCATATAAACATTTTTATTGCCATTTAGTTTTGAGAAATATTTTTTCCAAATGGCACATACAAGCTTTATCAATCTCTCTAAAAGGTGCTGGTTTTGTCAACTACAAAGCGAAAAAAAACCCCATAAATTTTCCAAATATGATAAATTACTAATGTATCTGCAGTTAAGATCCCACTGTCCTTTCATCAAGCTCACATCTCAATTGTTGTCCTGCAGTTATTTATGTAACAAATCATTTCATTTTTGTAATTTAACATTGCACCTTCAAAGGAACATACAATGGCATAACATCATTA